TATTGTGGTCCCCCCATCTAAAAGGCAGCTGAAAGAACTTATGTGCTATAGCAGCAGAAATTAGCATTCGACCTCTGGGTCAATATAAACCCCCCATAGGGGGGTTTATATTGACGTAAAATTCACAAATTTAATCCAAAGTACTTTTTCCCACCTCCTTTTCCGTCGGATTCTACAAGCAATTAAGCATGAGTCAGGATAAGGAAAAATATGTGATTTTCTGAATAAAATTGATATTTTATACTTATCCTGACTCATGAGGTAAGCCCTCCCAACCTCCCCACAAGACACTTTGGATTTCCCTGCAAATTCAAGTGTCGGGCTCATATTCAGGAGAGAGTGAAGCATGTGGGGAACAGTGGCGCCATTTCCCGTCAAAAGCAGCAAAGAGGGGCAACTCTTGGTGAGTAGTGATTAGTGATTTTACGTACGCTTTTATTGAAGGGAGCTTCAATAAGGAGATACAAGTGTTCCACTATCTTCGCAAGAGGAAGAAGACAAGCAATTAAGCATGAGTCAGGATAAGTATAAAATATCAATTTTATTCAGAAAATTACATTTTGTTGTTATACAGAAGGCCCTAATGACCACTTATATACCATATGTACACTGGAATCGTCAATTTTGAAATGAAATGAAAAATGTCAGCAATTGCTGTTTGAGATCTGGTACAATAAGATGTTTATGTTTACGTGACTTTAACACATTTAAACAAGTTATATAGGCATTTGGTATTCGTATACTTTCCTAGTCACGTTTGTGTTCTGTTGATGTAAGCAATGCCATTGAGTTCAGTTTTCGAACACCAGTTTTAGAAAATGGATAGCTTTTCCTTGGCTGGTAACATGTAGTTCAACCATTTCTCAAATCATTCGTATGTTAGAATGATTGTAATTCCCAATTTATATTAGCAAATACTGCCACTGAATTATGAGATCAACATATTTATTCTAACAAATTGCACAACTCAAAATATTGGAATTGTATTTAAAAAGAATTTCATAAGTTAATAAAAAGTCAACCCTTTTGTATGAAAATTACAGTATGTTTTTTCTAATTTAATTACATATCATGTTACATGTATTTATTAAAATTGTCTGCAACAAATCGTTCTGAGTTGAAATGTCACAATAACCCACCTCCTTTCATTCCCGATTTCTTAGATATTTCGTTCAAGGCCCTGTGGTTGGCATTCTTGTCTTTGTATCCAGCTGAGGATGCATTCCAGAGCCATGGGTGACTTTGGATCTCCTCTAAGAACTGCATAGTTGCCTTTCTTCGTCAGACCTTTCCATTGTTGATGCCATTTTGTAGGTCGAGTTGACCAGATGACCAAAACATCACGTGACAATTTCGTTGACTGCGATTGGTTGTTTCTGAACAACACGAGTCTGACAACACTTCATACGTCAAACTCGGGTTTGACAACATCGACAGTTTGCAGGAAAAGTTGGTGAGAATAGAGACCGATACTATTTCTCGACAACAGTTTGACAACTCAACTGGTGTTGGTGGCGCGTTGTTGGACTGTGCACACTGTTCAACATGTGTTGTCAACCGTGTGAAGGTTGCTTTAATGTAATGAGATATAAGTAGCAGTGGTGTAAAGTGGTTTACATGAAGGTAAGATGATAATATGAATATGAAGATTAACTGTTTTTCAGATAATTAATACTGGCTGGTACAAAAGAATGGCGGAAGCTGTTTGTGTATAGCTATTGGCTTGCGCAAACGACGTCCTAATGGAAGAACTTCAGAATCGTAAAATAGAATATAAGAACTATCATTTACAATTCTCAGCACTTTTTGACAATGTGCTGGTCATAAAGAAGGCCGATAGATTTTTTTGAATCTGTGACAATGGTTTTGCGTGCTGTGTTAACGATTTTGTTGTATAGTTTTATTTTGAACAGACAGGTTACCAAACCAACAAAGTAGGTTAAAAGTTAAACTGCTTTGTATAAATGTTTTGTAAAATAGTACCTTAAGAGCAAGTACAATAAGGGCAAATACCATAAATAAGCTTACAGACAATGATAGTGCCTAAATACTTGTATTTATTCACAATTTCGATTTCGTCATTACTGATTGAAATAGGCCCTAAAGAATTAGCTGACTTTCTGAAATCTATGATCATTTGTTTGGTTTTCTGCACCAGGATTCATCTACTCATTGAAAAATAGAGAACTGATGTACAAAGTATTAAACAGCTCAGCATAGACAAAGTAACAGAATAATAAGGCAAGGTTTTATTTAGGACTGCATAACAAAGATAACAGATAGTACTGCAAAAGCACGGAAATAGTCTGTAATGCTTGACCAGGGTAGCAGTTAGCACTGCTCAGCTTGGGTAACCTATAGTACTGCATAGCCAAGGTACCATTTAGTACGGTATAGCCAGTGTAACAGGTATTACATTAAAGCCAAGGTAACAACAATGAAGAAATTGAACAGTATAGCCAGGGTAACATTTAGTACACAATAGTCAGTGTAGCATCTAGTACCATATGGCCAGGGTAACATTTAGTACACAATAGTCAGTGTAGCATCTAGTACCATATGGCCAGGGTAACATATAGTACACCATAGGCAGTGTACTATCTAGAACCGTATAGCCAGGGTAACATTTAGTACACTATAGTCAGTGTAGCATCTAGTACCGTATAGACAGGGTAACATTTAGTACACTATAGGCAGTGTAGCATCTAGTACCGTATAGACAGGGTAACATTTAGTACACTATAGGCAGTGTACTATCTAGAACCGTATAGACAGGGTAACATTTAGTACACTAAAGGCAGTGTACTATCTAGAACCGTATAGCCAGGGTAACATTTAGTACACTAAAGGCAGTGTACTATCTAGAACCGTATAGACAGGGTAACATTTAGTACACTATAGGCAGTGTAGCATCTAGTACCGTATAGACAGGGTAACATTTAGTACACTGTAGGCAGTGTAGCATCTAGTACCGTATAGACAGGGTAACATTTAGTACACTAAAGGCAGTGTAGCATCTATAACCACATAGCCAGGGTAACATTTAGTACACCATAGGCAGTGTACTATCTAGAACCATATAGCCAGGGTAACATTTAGTACACCATAGGCAGTGTAGCATCTAGTACCATATAGCTAGGGTAACATTTAGTACACCATAGGCAGTGTAGCATCTAGTACAGTATAGCTAGGGTAACATTTAGTACACCATAGGCAGTGTAGCATCTAGTACCATATAGCCAGGGTAACATTTAGTACACTATAGGCAGTGTAGCATCTAGTACCATATAGCTAGGGTAACATTTAGTACACCATAGGCAGTGTAGCATCTAGTACCATATAGCTAGGGTAACATTTAGTACACCATAGGCAGTGTAGCATCTAGTACCATATAGCTAGGGTAACATTTAGTACACCATAGGCAGTGTAGCATCTAGTACCATATAGCTAGGGTAACATTTAGTACACCATAGGCAGTGTAGCATCTAGTACCATATAGCTAGGGTAACATTTAGTACACCATAGGCAGTGTAGCATCTAGTACCATATAGCTAGGGTAACATTTAGTACACCATAGGCAGTGTAGCATCTAGTACAGTATAGCTAGGGTAACATTTAGTACACCATAGGCAGTGTAGCATCTAGTACCGTATAGCCAGGGTAACATTTAGTACACTATAGGCAGTGTAGCATCTAGTACAGTATAGCCAGTGTAGCATCTAGTACAGTATAGCCAGTGTAGCATCTAGTACAGTAAAGTCAGCCAGTGTCACATTTAGTACACCATAGGCAGTGTAGCTTTTAGTACAGTATAGCCAGTGTAACATTTAGTACACCATAGGCAGTGTAGCATCTAGTACAGTATAGCTAGGGTAACATTTAGTACACCATAGGCAGTGTAGCATCTGGCACCGTATCCAGGGTAATATGTAGTACACCATATATCTAGTACAGTATGTAGGGTAACATTTAGTACACCATAGGCAGTGTAGCATCTAGTACAGTATAGCCAGTATAGCTAGGGTAACCATAGGCAGTGTAGTAGTACAGTATAGCCATAGGTACAGTGTAGCAGTCTAGCATCTAGTACAGTATAGCGAGGGTAACATTTAGTACACCATAGGCAGTGTAGCATCTAGTACCGTATAGCTAGGGTAACATTTAGTACACCATAGGCAGTGTAGCATCTAGTACCGTATAGCCAGGGTAACATTTAGTACACCATAGGCAGTGTAGCATCTAGTACAGTATAGCCAGTGTAGCATCTAGTACAATATAGCCAGTGTAGCATCTAGTACAGTAAAGTCAGTGTCACATTTAGTACACCATAGGCAGTGTAGCTTTTAGTACAGTATAGCCAGTGTAACATTTAGTACACCATAGGCAGTGTAGCATCTGGTACAGTATAGAGAGGGTAACATTTAGTACACCATAGGCAGTGTAGCATCTAGTACCGTATAGCTAGGGTAACATTTAGTACACCATAGGCAGTGTAGCATCTAGTACCGTATAGCCAGGGTAATATTTAGTACACCATAGGCAGTGTACACCCTATAGCTAGGGTAACATTTAGTACACCATAGGCAGTGTAGCATCTAGTACAGTATGGCCAGTGTAGTATCTAAAGTACCTTAGTACTGTATAGCCAGTGTAGTATCTAGAATTCTATAGACTGTGTTGCATGTAGTACTGTATAGGCAGTGTAGCATCTAGTACTTTGTGGCTCTGACTTAAATACATTAATATTTCAACTACGTATAAATTATTAATTGACTTACTTTGTGTCGGTACAGTTGGGTTGTAACAATGCATCAACCTATCGATCCATAGCAATTAATCGATGGTAGAACGGAAAACTGTCGATAGTTTGGTTATTTAACTAGTCATTTGTATGCAATAGTATTGTCGCAATAGTTTGTTGCAACAGACTATCGCTATCACAATAGTTGTTTCCCTCTCATCCCTAGTCGGTAGTACATATAACACTACATAGCACATACCTTAGGGAGGATGATATCTTCCATCAACTTGTTCTCGGCGGTTCCAAGGTCGACAAAACCCTGTGTTAAAGTTTGCATATGTATCATACGAGTTCTATAAAAGCGTGATCATAATTGCTTATCAGAAGATCTTAAACATAGCCATTGTTCTCCAATAGTGTTAACGTGCTGTAAACTAAATCAAATAGTGTTAACTTGCTCTAAACTAAACAATTATTCAGTCTCTGAAAAAATTAATGCGAAAATACTTTTTCAAATTGTGATGATATATATGGTCATATTGAGAAAGTAGTCATTGGAGCTGCCACATGGTTCTAGATCTGCTCAACATCTCTATACACTTCCGGGCAAAAGGAATTGTATCTAAAAAAAAATTCTAGTACAGGTTTCAACCCAATAGAAAATATTCGCCCAAACGCAGCATGTTCCTGATAACAACGCCTCTGTCCAAAACCTTCGCAGGAATCGTGCATTTTTCAATACGGGGGAAAAAGTAATTGAGGGGCACTGGTCCAAATGCACGTGCATGATTGTGGCATAAATACCGATGTTGGACAGAGTAGGCAAGCAATAACCAAAAACCACCACGGAAATGCCAAGACATACGCAAGCGCATCGAGACAGGGGGCTTCACAACGTCAGCTGGCAGGAACCTTCAACTGCACCAAGGCCACCATCAACGAATTGATAAACCGCTACCAACAAACAGGATAAACCAAGACCGACCAAGATCTGGAAGACTAGAAGTCACGACATCGGCCAAAGACCGATACATCCGGCAGATCCACCTCCGGAACAGATTCGTGAAGGCGACGCCAACCACGACGGCAGCACTATGACATGCCATCAGCAGACGAACAGTCGTTCGAGGACTTGTTATGTCTGGTATGCGAGCCTACCACCCCTTCCGTGGAGTGGCCATGACCCGTCTACACCGTCAACGAAATGTGACGGCGGATGGATAAGTGAATGTTCTCGATGTCAACTATGCACTTATACCGTTGCTCTTGATTTTACACGCAAGCCGATGGGAAATGTTACAGAACAACTCTCCATTTAGGCAATTATTTCTTGAACATACTAGAATGTCTCCCCATATACGAGATTAGTTTTACAATATGACCTGATACTAACTCCGTAGACCTGCCCATGAGGAGGATAACGCAAACCCCGCCCGTCATAATCAAAGATGTTTAAGGAAGGACACAAACCTCATCTGGAAATATTAACTATGTCTCTTCTTCAGCACATTTTCTGTACGAAAACATAAATTCTTCTTGATATTTCTTTAAAAGTAACCCCTTGGTTAATTTCTAGGTTGACTCCAGAATGCCGTCATAAAAGATACGCTTCGGGCAACATACAGATGTAAATCTGGAGTTTAGAGCAGAACGCGGGTAAAAAACCAAAGCCACACATACTTATGTCGGGCCAGTCCGTAGTATATATACTGAACCACAAAAGAAACGCCACACCGAAATAGTTTTCTTAAAACACACAATTTCTCTAATTAAACATCAAAACGGATGATTGAGTTCAAACTTGATAAATAAGGAAACATTTTTTCGGGAATGACATTTAGAGTTCACACAAACAAAATCACCAAAAGCGGTACCATTAGGATACCTCAAAGTCAGCATCGTGTGTGGCCTCTATGGGCATCGATGGCGGCGTTGCATCGTCTGTACATATAAGGAATGAGCCAGTTGATGAAGGCCATAGGCACTGGATCCTTACTCTGCCTGGTCTTGGTTGGGGGTCATTCAGTCTTCTTTGAATCTCGTCCAAAAGCTGTTCCATTGGACTTAATCCGGACGGAATGCAGCACATTGTAGGGTTTGAATGCCATGTTGTCTTAGGAAGTTCAATGTTGCTCTGGCAGTGTGAGCAGGAGCGTTGCCTTGCTGGAAGATGTCATTTCTCTGATGTCCAAAATGTGGTGCAACGTGAGGTCTTATGATATGGTCAATATAGAGTGCAGCTGTCATTTCCTCGTCCTGGACCTAGATTCTGGAACATCACGAGGTCAAGTCTCTGGTTCAGACGGATTGCACCCCACACCATGATGCACACACACACACACACGCACGAACACACACACACACAGCGAGTGGAAACTCGTTCCCCACGCCTGCGCCATACTCTCACTCTGCCATCAACTGTCGAAACACAATATCGACTTTCATCAGAAAAAAGCACAGTTCTCCATTGTCGATAAAGCCAATATCGATGATGAGTTGCCCATTGCAGTCGGTTTTGGCGGTGACGAGCGGTGAGGATAGGGCCACGTTATGGTATGTGACAGCAGAGGTTTCTTCCGCGCAAACGTCGACGCACTGTATTGGTCTGTTGTGAGTCCCAGTGGTCTGTTGTGCTGTTTCCGTCGCTCTGGTGAAGCGATCCTGCAGATGGTTGCGCACAATCTGTCCGTCTTGACGTTGTGATGTTACTGAAGGACGGTGTTGGATTCTGCTGGTGGCCTGATACCGCTCCTGCAGTCGGTAGATTGTCCTAACATGAACACTGAAATGATTGGCTGTGCCCCGTGCAGTCTGGCCAACTTGCAATCGTCCCAAAGCTTGGTTCCTCTCGTCTCTCGTAAGTCGTGGCATGGCAATTGTGCCAAAACAAGAATGATTTCAGGCGAGTTTGGGACCTGCTTTCATTGGTAGGGTTGTCACGATATGCACGTGCATTTTTCACGAATGTCATACGGAACCTTTTACCACGTCTGCCTTTATGGGTGTTTTTAGTTGGACGATATGCTTTTCCATCAGAAAACACACTGACGTTGGTAATAACTGTCAATTCGGATTGAAACCCATGTTATTAAACAAACCAGTATCATAATAAAAACACCATCTTGTAAGATCGAGATTGTGCATTTGGTTTTTAAAAGTGACGGGTTTTTTTAGGTTCAGTATATCTAAGTGGTGTTCATTGGACGAAACAAGAAATTTAGAGCATTGATTCTTACACTACAAATTATGTCAGACAATGTAGCCCACCAGCTTCGCTCTTCCCTACTTCGTTCCTATAATTTAATACACGTAAAGATCCTTGGTTAGCATTGGCCTTCAGCATCCCATGCTTGTGAGAGGGTGGTCGTGCTTGCTGCCTTGGTTGACGCATGTCATCGCATCCCAATTGCGTAGATCGATACTCATGCTGTTGATCACTGGATTGTCTGGTCCAGACCCGATTCTTTACAGACCGTCGCCATACAGCTGGAATATGACTGAGTGCTCCGTAAAGCAACAAACAAATCATATTATTAGTATAATAATCAATGCCTTCTTTGAATTGGTGCTCTGTTTCCTTTAGGCCATTGATGCGTCATCAGCAACCTATTCCAAATTAGGATAAGTGTATATATATAGTAGTTGGTGCATGCTGTTGCATATGCTGCTCCAGTAGACATGTGGCATTGCCCTATATACACCACTTCAGTAAGGATCTAGCATGATATTATTTAACATATTATGTGCGTACACGAGCCTATTGGGGTAAAAACTAGTGTTACCATAGTGTTTATCTGGACTAACGTTTTTGGACATATATCGGAATATATCCTTTCACTTTACCTCAGGGTTTGTGTTCTTGTCGTACGGATCATTGCAGACCAGCTGGGTGTACTTGACCAGGGGACTTGGGACCAGCATTGTCTTGCAGCCCCTCGTTGAAAGTAGGTTGTCAGACGTCATTCTAATCTCCTTCACCAATGACGAGGCCATTTCTAAGATAAAGATAGGTTATAGACATGCTGTCCTTATACCAAACAATGTAGTGAAGCTGTCTGTAAACGTTCGTTCCCACTCCTTATGCCCACAACCGAGCTGACTTTAAGAGGGCTGATCCACCATCCCTTCCCGAGTTTGCGAGCTGGATCTTGCCACATAAATCAATAAGACATTAATGCACATGCCCATAGTTTTACCTCGAACAAAGAATATGATGTAAGAAAGATGATGTCATTCATAAAACATTTTGTCTGTATTTCAATGTATCTCGCATAACAAGTTGAGCATGATTTCATGTACCCAAATACCAACTTGTCAATATGAGTTCAATATGTTGAATGAAGAATAAAGATCAGTGTAAATGAAAACACTACACTTCAAATCAAAATAACAGATGTCTAATACGCCATGTGTATCCTAATGTTTCTGACACAGTATCTAGGTTTAAATCCTGTTCAATCTATGCCACAAATCAGATAACTATATCAGTTCTATTTCAACATTTACATGCAATGATATAAATGTACTTAAACTATGTATGCGTGAAACAGGTGGCAATTGTACGCCATTAGTGCTTCAATGTATATACAGTTTTATAATCGTAGTAAAGCACCAAAACAAAGAAGCAGCAACAGGTAAAACAGTGCAACGTTGATTTACGTAAGAGGTTTTGTACATTACTACTTACGGTGTACTTATTCATGAAGGCTCACACCACCGTGACTTGGATCCAAATGTTTGCGACCCTGAATAAAATTAGATCACGTGTCTTCAGTGTCCCCAAAGTTATGTCTTGGTGTTAAAGGTCACTCACGTTCCAGATAGCTGATATCTTATCTACACAAACGCGAATCTGACTCTGATGAATGGTCTTATTACTGTGTACAGCTGTGGCCCATATTAATGTCAGCACGGCTACAAGATACGTTCTTTTCGGGGTTCCGGTGATAATGCTTATCTTACGCGTATTATAACCGATGGCAGTAAGAGGCATGGTTCAATATTAAAGGTCACATGCAACGTAAAACACAACTTTGCAGATTCTGATACCTTTCGGTATGGACTTACCGAAACAAATCATCAAAAATGCAAATTCAACTTAAAAAGTTGAAAAATAACGCGATGAAAAAAACCGCGCGAAATTGGAGTTCAAACGATTCACTAATTTTCCCCCGACTTTTCGGGAAAAACTGGTTTCAACAGCTGGGCTGCGCTCATAGCACGTGCGCAGTGAAATAGGTTCGCGCAACTTGGAAGCGGGCTGTCCGGTGAATACTCTGTGAAGGCTTTGGTGTGAGCTATTTTCCTAATGTTTTGTTGATATCTCACAGGCGAGAGCTTTTAATATGTTATGACAGTAAATAAACTGTTTATATAATTTCATTTGTCTATTTCACCACACGTTCTTCTTACCGAGTCACTTTCTCAATTCGATACTTAAAAGCAATGCCATTATTTAGCGTTGACAGAATTTCTAACTGTGATATAGATATGTGGTTGTCACAGACAAAACTCAATGTCTTGTTTTATTGACACCTGTGTGTCTGCCTGCCAGTCTGCTAATGACAATATTCAATATACAACTGCGATCACTGACCACATGCAATTTGAACTTAACACCAATCAGGCTATACACCATAAACAAAACGCATTGATTTATAGCCCGAGTTCGGTCTCTGTCACATTATGTAATTACACAGACAGGCAGGTGTGATACTTGAACACATGACATGTTAAGATGTCTGTTGATTGTGTAGCGGCCATAAAATTTCCGAGTCCCGTGCTGGAATTCGAACGACGGACCTTCTGATGCGAAGTCGGACGCCTTGTCCACATGACCAAAGAGGTTAACCCCGTCAGCAAGCTGACAAGGTAAGGATGTCATCTGTGGGGGTGACTCCACGCCCTGCTACAATTGCAAAATGTTATACACAAAAAATGGGCATGTATTTACAAAACCCAACATCTCTATATATACACCCACAATGAGCCGTGAGGGCATATGTAAATGAACCAGCCGTTACACTTGAGTGCACACCCACCCGCTCTGACTGGGTTCGGTATCCCTGCTGCTTCGTTTCTTGGGAAGTAAACCCAAGTACACACTATTGCACTTTTGATTTGCGATTGTACGCTTATAATTTTGTTTATATGTTTTTTCATAACCAACAATGTATATTATATGTCATGAATAAGTGATAACTGTGTTTTAATTATATTTGATTTTGGTTGCATGTGACCTTTAATAGAACATCTTTGCTGAAACAGCAAACTGATATTAATCCAATGCAATTATATGCTGCAGTGACAATAACGTGGTAGGTTAGGTATGATGATTTTGATCATGATTTTCAGCTTCAACGTATTAATTCAAAATAGCGTAATGAAATATCAACAGCTTAAAATGCGACGGCACCAGGTTTTAACCACCTTACAAATAGTTTTGTTCATGTCACATCTCATATCAAGCCTCAGGGAATTTAGCCGTCCGTTATATTATATTTATCACGCGTAGGGTATGATACAAATTTAGTAGGTATGTAATTCTTACGACAAACCATCAAAAAATGGTATTTATCTTCGATGTAGCCTTCATTACACACAGTGCACACCCTTTCATCTACAGGAATATAAACATATCTGCCTGTTTGTATTTTGAATCCATGGGAACTGGAACGAAATTGCGCCATGGCCACGCGGGATTTTGCAATTGTTAATCGTTTGAGATATAATTCCGTTCCAAAGGTACCTTTAAAGAAAGTATAATTTCTAGTTTTAGAACTGCTGAAAAGAGAGGAGTGCCAGTCCTGTTCACACGAACATTTTGATCTTGCCATAATTTCCGCGATAAAGGATTCTTTACTACTTATTGTTTGTGACTCCCATACATAGCCAAATCCTAGTCGAAACAATTAGTACTTCAGTTTGGAAACCCAATTATTTTTACCATTATAAGCTCTTTGAAAAAGCATGTTATAACGTGTTATGACACTTCTTTGGGTAACTTACATTAGGCATATATAGTAATCTAATCCAAAATTTTATGGAACGTTTAAATGCAAAAATGTACAAAGGATATCTGCAACGTTGAGCCAGTACTGGGTAAGTTGGTGTCGATGTCTTCACTCCAAGGAAGCGTTTACACGCAAACATATGGATGGTTTCTATATTCGTTACACTATCTAAACCCCAAACCTCAGCCCCATAGAGTAAAATAGGCAAACTTTTAGTGTCAAATATCCTAAATAATAATTCAAACGGAATTGGTTTAAATCTATGTAATGACCTTAAAATACCTAACGGAACCTTTCGAGCCTGAGTAGCTGCACCTTTGGTATGTTTATCCCACGACAATGATTTAGTAAAAGTATTACCCAAATATTTATAGAATGGGACGCACTCGAGACATTTCTTTCCATAATATCATTTTCCCTTCTCGAGAGAATACCCCCTTTCTTGAAAACAACCACTTTAGTCTTATCCAAATTAACTGTTAACTGGTACCTATTGCAATATGATGCGAGAACGTCTATTCTTTTCTGGAGACCCAAGATTGTGTCTGATACCAAAATGACATCGTCGGCAAACAATAATATGAACAGTTCAATCATCTCTGGATGAAGCTGAATTCCAGGTTTACACGTGGTTTCAATTTCCTGTTCTAATTCATAAATAAAAATAGAATACAGATATGGGCTAAGGACTCAGTCCTGCCGTACACCAAAATCACAGTCAAACACATCCGAATACAGATTATTAGCCTTACCACATGAACGTACTCGATTGTATAGAGCTTGTACTCCGTTTAACATTCTTGGAGAAACCCCTCTCTTTATCAAAACCATACATAATTTCGACCTATTCACTAAATCATAAGCTTTTGAAAAATCTACAAATACGGCACAAATTGTCCCCTTTTCTTTGATAAATACCGTTGAATGACTGAATGTAAATTAAATATATTGTCAATGGTAGAATATCCCTGACGAAATCCTGCCTGTGATTCCACAAGTTTGTCATAGGCATTTGTCCAAAATGTAAGACGTCTTTTCAAAATAGATACATACATTTTACTAAAGATGCTTAAATTTGTAATTCCTCGGAAAGTATTAAGGATTGAGTATCCCCCTTTTTGTGCAAGGGAACAATGATTCCCAACGACCATGCTTCAGGGAAGTATGCAGAATCAAATATAGCATTGGGACCGTGGCACCGTCGTATTCGTATGACGCACTACTCCTGATATGGGTCTCAGACCAGGCACAGCGATGTCGTATTCGTATGACACACTACTCCTGATATGAGTCTCAGAACCAGGCACAGCGATGTCGTATTTGTATGACACACTACTCCTGATATACGTCTCAGACCAGGCACAGCGATGTCGTATTCGTATGACACACTACTCCTGATATGAGTCTCAGAACCAGGCACAGCGATGTCGTATTCGTATGACGCACTACTTCTGATATGCGTCTCAGAACCAGGCACAGCGATGTCGTATTCGTATGACCAGCACTATTCTATGACGCACAACTTCTGATATGCGTCTCAGAACCAGGCACAGCGATGTCGTATTCGTATGACGCACTACTTCTGATATGCGTCTCAGAACCAGGCACAGCGATGTCGTATTCGTATGACGCACTACTTCTGATATGCGTCTCAGAACCAGGCACAGCGATGTCGTATTCGTAGACGCACTGTATGAGTCGAACCAGGCATATATGCGTCTCATGACACACTACTCCTGATATAAGTCTCAGAACCAGGCATGGCGATGTCATATTCGTATGATGCACTACTTCTGATATGCGTCTCAGACCAGGCACAGCGATGTCTCAGACCAGGCACAGCGATGTCGTATTCGTATGACGCACTACTTCTGATATGCGTCTCAGACCAGGCACAGCGATGTCGTATTCGTATGACACACTACTCCTGATATGAATCTCAGACCAGGCACAGCGATGTCCTATTCGTATGACGCACTATTTCCGATATACGTCTCAGACCAGTCACAGCGATGTCGTATTCGTATGACGCACTACTTCTGATATGCGTCTCAGACCAGGCACAGCGATGTCGTATTCGTATGACACACTACTCCTGATATGAGTCTCAGAACCAGGCATAACGATGTCGTATTCGTATGACGCACTACTTCTGATATGCGTCTCAGACCAGGCACTGCGATGTCATATTTGTATGACACACTACTTCTGATATGAGTCTCAGAACCAGGCATAGTGATGTCGTATTTGCATGACACACTACTCCTGATATGCGTCTCAGACCAGGCACAGTGATGTCGTATTTGTATGACACACTACTTCTGATATGCGTCTCAGACCAGGCACTGCGATGTCATATTCGTATGACACACTACTTCTGATATGAGTCTCAGACCAGGCACAGCGATGTCGTATTCGTATGATGCACTACTCCTGATATGAGTCTCAGACCAGGCACAGCGATGTCGTATTCGTATGACACACTACTTCTGATATGAGTCTCAGAACCAGGCACAGCGATGTCATATTCGTATGACGCACTACTTCTGATATGCGTCTCAGACCAGGCACAGCGATGTCGTATTCGTATGACGCACTACTTCTGATATGCGTCTCAGACCAGGCACAGCGATGTCGTATTTGTATGACACACTACTTCTGATATGAGTCTCAGAACCAGGCACTGCGATGTCGTATTCGTATGATGCACTACTTCTGATATGAGTCTCAGAACCAGGCATAGTGATGTCATATTCGTATGACGCACTACTTCTGATATGC